ATCGTGCATCCGAATCCTGACGATACCTATCTCACAAATACCACGGGATTGATCACTTCCCATGACTACCATACCCCCATCGAGCTTCTCGAAAGATGCAAACTAATCTCGCCGGGGAGTCACATGATAAGTAGCTCCAGAATCCAGCATCCAGCATTCAATCCGATGCATCCGCATGGTTAACCTCTGGAGTAATCAATAGAGAAAAGTATGAATCATCGAAATTATTACCACTCTTAGCAACATTCACATCATTGGCCTTCGGTCCCTTCTTCTTGCTATTCTCCTTCTCTATGAACTTCGAGCAATCTCTCTTTTAATGTCCTTATTCTTTACAAAAAACACACTGGTTCTTCGCTAATTGGTAGTGGCCCATTGACTTTGACCTGCTTCGATTACTACCTCTCAGATAGGGACTCCTCCCTCTTGTCGATAAGGCCTCTCCTGAAGTGCTAGCTCTGGAAGTCTCTTTGTCCTTCCTCCTCAGATCGTAATTCGTCAACGCATTAGTCACTTCATTATATATGATGGTAGATCTACCATTCAACAAAGTGAGCACGAAGGTATCATACTCCTCATCGGGTAAGGATCCTAACAAAATAATTACCTTATACTCATCCGTTATCTTCTCATCAACGTCCGCCAAGTCGGACAATAACTTTGTGTAGTTGTTCACATGATCCGTAAGTGAGGTATCCCTGGACATCTAGAATCTAAACAATCTTCGCAGCAAGTGCAAGCAATTCTCAAAACTCTTCGTAAGATACTTATTATTGAGAATCTCTCATATCTTCATCGCAGACGTCACACCAATCACATTATACTTCAATTTTTATTCCAAACAAGATCTAATTTCCCCACAAGCGTTTCAGATCATCTTGTCCCATACCGCCTCATCATACTTCGGTGGCCTCTCATAGTATAAAACTCTGATAATTTATGAATAATATAATTAATGTGTGATAAATTATGATATGTGAATATTTAGTATGATAAATATTATTTAATGGTATATAAGAATAATACCATGTGCTTTGAGTATGAACGAGTTCATACATCAAAGAGAGAAGAGTTGAAACATGCACAAATGGCCAAATACATGAGTATCTGGAAATGCCCAGTTCGGTCGATCGTCGCGATCGACCGTAGTCCGGTCGACCACGGCAGTCGATCGCGAAACCTGCAGAGTGTTTTGTTCCTGTTTTGAGTTGGTTTCGGATTTCTAAACTCATATTCATTTTCTCCTGATATATATATATATATATATATATTTCACGATTTTGTCAGTATTCCAAAGAACCCTAACAGCCACCAAACTCCGCAAAACCCTAATTTGATTCTTAGAGAAGATTAGAGGCTTTTGAGCAGGATTTCTCGTGGTTTTTGGATTTTGGAGTGGAGATCTCTTGCATCTAAATACTTTTCCTACAACCTCAGACGAGTATCATCTCTGCTAATCCCCCTCCTAGTTTTCGAAACGTTTTTTTAGAGTTTTAAACATGTTTTGTAGAGCCTAAATGACTAATTTATGAATAAAGTCAAATTCTTTTGTATTATATGTATAAAGACTAGGTCTTTGCATGCTAAAAAGGTTGAGAGTGATTTTACAGATGTATTTAAGATCTGAAAATAATTTTAAAACGTGGTTAATATAAAGAAAGAAGTTTGATTAATCGTTTTGAGCTTTTATGCATGTTTTAGGATTTTGAATATAAATCTAATGCATAAAATCATGGTTATACATGTTGATTTCGTTTCCAGATGTTCCTATCTACTGTGGCATGTTTGTATACAAGTTTCATGAAGTTTTAAACATGTTTATATCAAGAAAACATAACGTGAACACGATATACACACAAATTTGTGAAAAACTAGAATTTGGGTTCACGGTCGACCGCCACAATCGACCGCGTGCAGGACAGAGACTTGGGTAGTCTCTGGAACCCGTCGTCTGTTTCGGCATGTGCATGTTTAATTGGTTTGGTTTTGGTTTTTCGAGCGAATCTCTCAACCTTATGATGATAGACTACGAGATTAGTGGTTGTTAAACACCTGGATTAATGGTGAATATCATATGTGGTCACGTGCACCGAGATTGGTGCATGTATGCTTAGATTGTGTTAGATTGACACACTTTTGACACAAGTTAAACTGATAAACACATATGAATAGTGTTGTTTTAGATGTACCAGGAAATAGGGAGATGAAACCTATTTGCCACAGAACGATTGAGTAAGAGTATTACAAAAGTATCATTATTACACGTATCCAGAATAGGGAAATAATAAATCCTATTACCGCAGAGAGATTGAGTAAGAGCATTACAAGAGTATCGCTATAGCACAAGATGATGCACACATAGATATTTGATCAGTTATAAGTTTTACTTCCATGATAGATTACCCGTGAGTAGGGTATTTACTTTGAAATTTTGGCACACCCGTTATGGACGACGGTTATATTTCGTTTTGGTTTGGTTGGCATCCTCTTATATTAGAGCAGGCTACTCGGATGTACTTCGAGATGAGATATTTATTCTTTATGTTAGAGATTGGAGTATGTTTCCTTGACTATTTGTTTTTCATTCATAGAGAGCTATATATATGTACTGATTTGATATATATATATATATATATATATGTACTGACTCTATTTTCTTATATACTCATACCCCTTCCCCTGGGGAGAGGTAGTGATGATCTCGCTAGCGCTTTGACGCTCGTTGTTTTCCCTCTTTCAAGCAGCGAGTCTGGCACACTGAGAGTCACAGGTTGATGGGACATCTTAGTTGTCCGTTTAGCTATTTATTATATTTTGTAGTTATTGCAGAACTCCACATGTAGTTAATTATTTTCAGACTCTACATTGGTATTTTATTTCATAGAGTTGAGAGCTATTGTGAGACTTTGTTTATTTGACTTGTTGTATTTGAGATTCAGTTCAGACTCAGAGATATATCTACTTCATTCCAGTTTGGCTCATTATTAATATTTCTTATGTTTCTTCTATGTATATTTTCAGTGTTATTCGATTTTGATTATTTACCTGTCTGTACCTTCATCTATTTATTGTTTCCACTAGAGAGATAGTGATTGTGATGGTGAAATATATCGTAGCATGGTGTTTGGTGCTTGGCAGGTTTGACAATCCGAGTTTCACCTGGGACTACAGCCTTGTGTGAACCCTAGGACGTCACACATAGACCATGATGGTCTCTTCCAAATTTTGAGCATTCAGTGCATCTTGCACATCACTCATCCAAAAACCAAAGTTGATATTGCCATCATACTTCACAACACTGATCTTCGTATTTTGAAGTGCAACCTGAACTGTACTCGTCATCGCCTTGCTGCTTTCACTAACTTCTTCTCCTATTGCAAACTAACTCCAAATTGTAAAGAAAGATTAAAACTTGATAGAATTGAGAAATTACCCAACTAAACCCTAGATAGGATTCCAACACGATCTCCTAGCCATACGAGGAAAGCGGGATCTCCAACGGCAACTCCACAACGCTATCTCCACCGAAGCCTAGATCTCCAAGACCCAAGCTTCCAACAGTGAATCTTCCTCCACCCAATGCAAAACCCTAGATCTAAAAATCTGAGCTCTGATACCACTTGTCGCGCGCCGTGCGGAAGCGTGCTCACGAACCAAACGAGTCAACGAGCGATGAGAGAAGAACCAAACACGAGTATAATTCACAAATCAACGGCCAAAATCACACACAAACACAGAGATTTACGTGGTTCGATAAATTGCCTACGTCCATGAGGAGAGGATGGGGAGATTTCGCTGTATGAAGAAGAAACAACGGGTTACAATCTCTCAAACAACTCTCAAAATAACCCAACCAATAATCTCACACTCCCTCACAATAATCTCCCTCTCAAAGTGCTCAAAAAACTCTCTTTTCTCTTATCTCTCCTCTCCTAAATCCTAGAAAGACGTGTTTCTATTTATAACAAGACACAATCCAAAATAGGCTGGGAATCAAAAAAACATCTGCCAGACCCGGGTGTGACACGCACCACACCCCTGAATTGTAGCAGGCAGCTTCTGTCACACCCGGGTGTGGCACGCACCACACCTCTGAATTGTAGCAGACGGCTTCTGCCACACTCGAGCGTGGCACGTACCACACCTAGGCTGTTGATTTTTTATGTTTTTCAACGCTTTGAACAATTCTACGTCGTTTTGTGGCAGAAGCTGTCTGCTACAATTCAGGGGTGTGGTGCGTGTCACACCCAGGCTGCTGAATTTTCATGTTTTTTAACACTTTGAGCAATTCGACACCGTTTTCTACCATTTGGACTTCTGATTTTGCCGATTAGCTCTTAAGTTTGTACCCTTTGATGCTTCTTGTTTTCTATTAGAGAGCATTAGATAAGTAGGACTAGCATGATTAGCAGAAACGATGGAATGCATGCGCAGAGGTTGCATGTTGGTTGTAGTCACATATGGCCATCTACTTCATTACGTACGCGTCAAAGGATCCATATTTCCCTAAGATTTTTTTTGTCTAAAACAAAGTCAGCAAACCCTTGAAATACTAAAAATTTCCATAACCCAACTCAAGATAAGCTGGATATTGTTCTTTCTTTCTTCCCTCGACCAAACGGACAACACTTCAATAAATGCGGTCCCATGGGGCCAAATTGATCAAGCGAGAGCTCCAGCAGCCTCCTCGGCGCTAATTGTTGCATGTGCAAGCGTCACAATTCATATTTTATTGTACCACCATTATCCCTCTCTCAAAGTCAATAAACAAACTAGAAAAATTAAGCGCGCAAGAGAGAAACCGGGGGTGGACCCACAGAAAAAAAATCATTTGTGGGTCCCACTCCCCCTGTTTCCCTCATGCTACGTGCGTACGAGACAAAATAGCATTTTCGAAAAATTAAATTATTTAGACCAACCTGCCCTACATATTTTTCAACATCCCCCACCCTTAAATAGCTCCTCGATCCCCCTGCACATTACAGACACTAAAGCCCCTAATGGACATCAACAAGAAAGCATCAGGAGATGAATCCTTCAAGAGGCCAGGATCTGTTCCATTCAGGTGGGAGATTGAGCCAGGCATCCCAAAGCTTTATAACACAACTCAACAAAAGCCATTACCAAAGCTTAGTCCTCCTCCTTCCTATGTGAGCAAACTGAGCCATCTCCCATGCCAAGCTCCTCCAGTGTCTCAGGGATGTTTCCCGATACAGTCTCTCAAACGCAGGGAAGTAAAGGAAGTGAGTTCATCGTCGCCACATCGAAGAATTATCATGCAGTCCCTCAAGAGCAAGCAAGTCAAGGAACTGAGATCATTGTCGCCGCATCAGACTACGTCAGCTCGTTACTCATCGCCCTTCTCTTTATCCTTCAGAAAGTCGCAGGCCAAGGAGGTGGAGGCGGTAGCTCAATGGCTCTTCTAGAGCTTATCAAGCACTCAGTTCAAGTTCCTACTCTTTTTTTATTTTTTTATTTTTTTTTCCGAAAGGTTTCCTTTTTTCCCCCCCTTCCCCCCTTCCTGCATTCGTTTGTGTCACAGAATATATGTACTTATGCGAAGATTTGCTCTATATCTTAAAATAAGCTAAAGCTGCAAATTTTGGCTCGGACTCCAGGAATTTTGATTTTTCTAGTTTATTTTTCCTTTCTAGCTAGTGCAAATTTTGACTCAGCATGCTACTGGACTATAATATTTGTTTGTGCAATGTGAGGATGACAGGGCAAAATTAGATTCATTAGTAAATGTAGCTAAAATCATTTAATTAAAATTTGTTACCATTTTTATCACTTTCATATGACTTTATCATTTTTTTAGGGGAAGTCAAAATTGCATTACATCCTATATGCTAACTTTCTTGCATTTCACTTTCATAACCATTTATATGTAAACAAACACATAAAATGTTAAAAGAAAGTCAGTTTCTCACTTTCATTTTTCACTTGCATGCAAACGAACATCCCCTAAAAATGAACTACGTAGAATAATATCTGCAATTGTAGCCCAACAAATTGAGGATTCAACCAATCCAAGTATATCAATTCACTCAACAATGAAATTTCTTGCAAAAGAAACGAACCCTACAACTGTTTAAAAACAGCTTATAGAAGCAACTTAATTATACAAGCTGTTGTAAATAGTTGTTTGGTAATCAAATATCAAAAACTGCCTAAAAAGCAGTTATGGTATTTCGTTGAACCGTGCTTAATGATTATTGTTAAAAGATAAAATGTATAAATATGAACTAAAAATAGGAGAAGTTGCTTTTAAAAATATTTTCAGGTCGCTTCCAAAAGCACCCCTTAAAAGCAAAAGCACTTTCAATAAGCATACAGAAAAAGTTTTCACCAAACTCCACTATTCACTACTTCTTGAAAAAATAACTAGAAACATCTTTTTTTTAAAAAGCAATATTAATTTGGCCCTTAGTCTCTGTATTGGAACTTCATACTCAAATTGGTCCCCCTGTTTTATTTTTTCTCAATTTCATCACCGTATTGGGGCTTCATACTCAAATTGTTCCTCCTACTTTATTTTAACTTCCAGTGGTTTGTAGTAAACTCCCAATACCTTCAACCATTACACTAAATTCCTAAGAACTTTCACATAAACCTCCAAAGTTAAAATCATTACATTTGACATGGCACATGCAACCCACGTGACTTCAAAATGCATTTGTTAATGTTAGTTATCAAATAGGGGGTTATTTGAGAGTTTGTGGACTGATTAGGGTCCTCTAACTCCTTCTGATGAGTGGTTCTGGGGCTCATTGTTCTTCCTCACACATGAAGAAACTCGTAAGAGGGCAAAGTTGGATTCTCCAGTTCCTCCGACGATTAAGTCAGTAGGTGATCTTGAGTGGGAAAGTGTAGCGTTAGTTCTTAGTTACGTCAAAAAGGCCAGAGAGCGTTACCTCATGCAGTGCCGCTCCTTTTATAGTGGGTTTAAGGGGCAAGAAGGTAACTTGGACCAAGTCCATCTAGGCAACTAATTCGATAGACATGTGTTATGTGTCTATTGCTGAAGGAGATGATTTACCTGATCATTTATTATGGGAATGACAACATGCTTGGTGCTGACTGGGTCCAATAAATCTTAAAGACTATGGGGCTAGAATAATAATGATGTTGTCAGGGCAGTTAATGCGAGAATAGTTAGCTAGCGAGGGGTTCGAGGTAGCTATTGTCCTTTGACTCATCGGGTCCAGGACCGAAAAGTATCGCCTTTTGACTCGGTTACGCGAGATCTCGACTGAACAGTGAGCCAAGTCGGATCGCTTGTGGAGTCAACTGAGGGGTTGGCCGAGTAATGTCGCCTTTCGACTCGGCTACGCAAGTGATCGACCAATCAAGTCGGCCGTGCTGAGGTGGAGGTTATCTTGGTTTTGAATTAGTCAGGTTAGGTATAGTGTAAGACATGTGTCGACTTCTCTAGGAAGATTAATATTTAGTAATTTATAGGTTATAACAGCATTGTTATGTTATTTTCTGGTTCTAACCTATAGAGGTTATCTATAAAGTGCGAAGAATTACTTTCTCTGATTTCAAAATTTATGCGAGTTTAGTGCAATTTTGAAAGTTGTTGGGGGTTCATTGTGATTTTGAAAGTTATTAGGGGTGTAGGATGTTATTTGAAAGTTCTTGGAATGTTTAGTGTGATGTTGAAAGTTAGTGGGAGTTTGTTGTCAAACTCTAAAAGTGAAAATAAAGTAGTAGTACCAATTTGAGTACGAAGTCCCAGTATAAAGATTAAGTTGAGAATAAGACATACTTATTGTAGTCATACATGTGTAAGCATGACTAAGCTATCAATAATGATTAGATGCTGATCAATCATAATGGTAGTAGTAATTAGCTAATTGCTTCAAGCCAAAGAGACACCACAGGTATCATAATGCTGACTATGAGAGGCCCATAAACTAGCATGCTATGAATAATAAGCAACACTGCATCTGAAAACAAAATTCAGTAATCTGGTTCCAACTGGAAACAGTTTATGATGAGAAACAAGAGCATTCTATTTAAGAATGTGTGACTTCGCAAGGTTTATTTGGGTGTCATCATCATCATCATATCATTAATAACAAAATACATCTAGTCGCGACATGTAGAAGCATCAAATCAATCATTTTGATTGCCAGTTCAAGTCTGCATAGTAGCTTACACGCTTGTCTGAAGAGGACCCACGTTCTGTTGTGTAGAGGAATCCATCCTTTCCAGTCACCCCTTGTGTGCATTTTGTTCTCCTGATATCAAAAGCAAATTGTAATGAGATGTGAGATAATTGATCCATTCACGCAAAAGTTCGCACCAAAGTGTGTTCACTAATGCTTACCCTGAGATTTCTACAAATATGGGAAAGATCCAATGCAGTCTTCATTAGATCCCACATCTTGGTGTTTCTTGAGCAAACCTACAACAAGATAGCCGCACCACTTATCACATATGCTTGCTCAGTAACAGGATAAATAGACAAATTCAAGAATAAAGGCTAAACAAGGATATTGCATCCCACTTTTAATACATAATAGAAATCATGAATGCAAGCTATAAACAAGAAATTGTTCATGGAGACTAGATCAGATGGCCTTGACTGCCTTCGTGGATAATACAAGCCTGTGAGAGAAAGCTGTAAAGTAGTCATTAGGAGCCTAATCCATTGGTTTATTACCGATTTGGTAAATATGGAAGACCATTTAGGCTCTTTTATTTTCACTATCTGCTTTGCCTAGAAAGACACGCATGCTACATTTCAGTACAAAATAAATGTTAGGAACGTACTATGGAAGAGTGATATCATTAGAAGGGGAGGTGCAATTCAAAAAATTGAAAAATAATAAAAATGGAAAATAACGATGGCTGAATAATTAACACCCTTCTTTTACATGAACATGGATTCTTAGCTGCTGCCATGAATATTGACACACTATTCTTTTGATATCATGCAAACCATGCCAAAATTGCAAACCTTACTGGCCCAAAATGGAGAGAAAAAGGATGTGCCACGGTTTCATAGGACACAATTAGGCAAAAATTACACATTTTTGGGCAAGGATTAGCTTCAGAAATTACATCTTTAAAAGATTCTGCTGAAACAAGGGATAGCTTCAGACTTTGTCGCCGTCATCTCTCACCCAACAACGATTCGAGAAGAGCCGATTCCTCCTCCTAGAAAAAAATCAACAAGGAATGCTTCAGTCAATTGTAAGCAAAAAGATGATGAATTCAAAATAAAAGGATGGAAATAACATAGGATGAGTCCCTCCAAGGAAAGGAAAGAACATATTCCTCATAATTTCTGACAAGCATCTATGGCCTAAACTGCTTGATTAATTTCAAGCCTTTAAAATTTTGATTATGTGCTGAGATCTCTAGAAGTGTGCCCTTAACATTGTGCTAAGGAATTGTTAAGGGAAGTATCATGTCTCCAGGAAACAGAAATACTTCATATTCATATAAACATTAAGTGTGTGTACACTATGATATACTTTTTTTCCAAGCCCAAGTGCTTGAGTAGCAGCAGCAGATGATTGAAAGTGAAATAAAGAATTTGCATTTAGAAAGTGGTACAGTGAGAATCTACATACCACCAAAGCATTGAATTCAGTTTCCTCGTCTATTGCACCAACAATAGCAGGGTCCTCCAAGAGATCCTGTTCCATACATAAAGGTTAAATATAAGAACATGTCTATGTTGAATGTGCATAAACCTGCTAAGCAAGTTCCTCAATGATAAAGTAAGAACATAGTCATAATGAAGCTAGTTTACTGAGGTTTCGTCTTGCAACCAGAAAGAAATTTTCTTAGAAACATCAAAAGCATATCTAGACTTGAAATGTAACTACATGATAGTTAATAAGATTTGACAAGAAATATAGAATGTGAGAGCAAAATGGTTCAGGCACCAAAATGAGAAGGAAGAGGTAAAGATAAATAAATAGCGTTAGCCCCACTAATAGTCCCACATAGGAAAATTGATAGAGTTTAAGAGGGGTAAATGATGGGTCTTGAGAGCCAAGTGCAACACTGGCTAGTCAATTCTGGCAATGGATTGAGCCAAACAACGTGTTGCACTCAGTGGGTCCCAAGGCTAACATCGTGCCAGCGGGCTCACAGACCCGGGGCATGAAATACTGACTACCTATTCACAGAAGCAGATGAGCAAGCAAGCATCACAAGAAAAATTAACATCCAGGGAATAAATTTAATACAGAGGGAATATTTACATTAATATTTGTCGTTAAAGTCACAAGCTGCAAAAGCTTTTTAAAGGTGTCTACATGATAGCTGATCTCATTTACATCACTATCAGGAAAATCTGTGTTCGCTTTTATTGTTTAGCAATCAGGAAGTCGACTTTACACCAGCAAAGGATACCATAAAATACAGCCTACTGTTGTTAGATTGCCTGAACAGTTCAAAATGAACATCTAGTACCAAGGAATTCAAATATTAAGTTTTTCCACATGTTGCACATTAGTCATCAGACTATGACGATGACACCATGCAGTTGCAATGTCGCCATATTCAGGGTTGTACCCTGCATTTTGAAGATGTAGGAACTTACCATCCCAGTTCGAAGCTCAGTACAGTAGATCATAAAACAATGATGGTGCCTTTCCCGTTAAGTCTTTAGATTCATGTGGGGATATTTGTTATTATAAATCCATAACTCTGCATGATTCCCACACAAGTTTAAAATCTGAAAAAATGTGGAATCATGGGGCATAAGTGTATGTGCTGATAAATACAACACGGATACTAAGTAGCTAAATCACCAAAGGATAAGGGGTGCATCTGCACATACCTTCAATTTATTACTATTGAGATGCTCTGAAATAAAACGGAGAGTTCAGCAAGTGTTTTCACAAATGCCGTTGTGCACAAATCTACATACAGGTGCAAAGGGATTAACGCATTTACAGAGTAGGTCTCATTGCCTAACTCACTCTATCCCCATGGTTGGGTCACATAATAGGGATGTGAAGATAAATTTTGATGGTGGTCAAGGCAGCTAGACTGAGTTCTACCAACAGAGGTATTTGGATAGACGGGGACTCACTACTGGTTGTCTAATCACTGTTACTACTTACAAGAATTATCCTTCGTCATAGATCAGTAGTTTGGCTAATTGTAAGGACATGAAGAGCCTTCCAGCAATAAATGGTCATCTTGAAATGCATCACATTTAATCAGATAGGATAAGGAGGCAGCTGACTGGATTGTCAGTCTTGCAACTCACTTCTCCCTCAGACATGTTTTGTACTCTAATTATACAACTGAGTTAGAGTAGACTATGTAGTATTTATTCTTCATCCATTTTCTGTCTAAGAATAATACAAACATCACAGTGGTTTCATACCAGCTTTTATGATAGCAGATAACAATGTCCTAAAAGAGAACATAGTAGGCATCCATATTTTTTGCTGAAAGTGCATGTTACAGATGATTACGTGCTAAGATGCACCTATGAACGAGTACATGAACTCATGTCATGTCTGCCGCCTAATGAAGCAGTCCTTAGATGTCCAGTAGGCCTGACAAAGGGCTCCATAAAGATTTATGCTAGAAAAAGATGTCATTCCGTTGAGCAAGTATGCATCACAAATGGGCATGAGAGTTAACAATGAAAATCAATGCAAATTAGTGAAGACCAAGTTAACGTAAAAGAGGTAACATACATCATCTGCTATCTGCAATAGGCCATCTTTGTCCTGCACAAAAAGAAATATGATTATTTAGTTTAATAACCTGCCCTAAATGGAAAAACAGATATTAGCATATTGCTCTATACAAGATGCTGGCAGGATATTCTGTCAAAAAGGGACCACAAGAAAATCATTTCTAGAAATGATATCATTCTGAATGAAGAAATATATACCTTAACAGCAACGAAAAGTAGCGGATCAGATGGCGTATAAATCATATAATGTGCCCCATCCTGAGAAACAAATACCATCCAAAAGCATTTAACATACAAGGCTAACAAAAAATCACAACTTCCTTAGTATCGCATAATAAAGTTAAGCCCAAAGTATAGATTACATGTTCCACAACGAAACGTTTAATCTAGCGATTCTAGCCTCTCACTGGTAGCAGCTTAAAGTTGACCCTTGTATTGATTACATTTTGCACAATAAGATGCTTAATTCAGCCTCTTAGTAATAATAGTTAACTGCCATGAGATGCCAAAATTTACGAACAAAATGTATTCTTAAATAACAGTGATGAGTTGATTTAAAAGAAGCAGCAGAAAAAAAAAAGAAAAGCTATTGCCTATACTTTAGGATAATCCATAACATCTACATTTGGTTTTATTCTTCTTCTTTCCTTTCTTCTTCCTCTTTTTCTTGAATGTGTCTGAGCCAGTGAGGGTGAAATTGGAGGCTAAGAATGGAGATACCCGTGCTTCTTAGAGAACCTGTCTTAATGACTAGCATTGGTGCACATGCAAATGAGCATGCAACAGACATTAAGACATAATTATTCTAATTTTTAAATGAAAAAGTTTATTTTAATATCTTAAAATGTCATAGGTATTTCTAAGATCTTTTATGATGTTTGTTCATTTAATATACAATATAATATCTTACTTTATTTGAAATTGTCTACGAGATTTATATCTATTTGAGTAATGAAATAATTTTGCTAGATCAGTAAGGAGTCTTTTGTTTTTTTCATAATTAACCTTCATATTATTTTATTTAATTATTTTTAAACTAAATATCTATATATACACTCTTGATAATATTTATATTGGAATATATTGAAATTCTAGTTGTTGTTTTCATTGTATTTGTTTACATGGAAAAGAACTTTATCATTTCATATCTATATCTTCTTATGATATACACTGTAATAGATATTTAATTAGTAACCTCTATGATATGCTTTAGAAAGTTTTAGAAATATAGAAAGAGAAAAGAATTAAAAGAAAAAGATAACTTTTTGTGAAATGACCAAACTGTCCTCATGTCTTTAGTGAGATGAAGGAAAATTTTCCCACGTCCTTCAAACTTTTCCTACCTCACTAGGTTTTTAATATAGTATAGATGTGGCTCCATTGCAAACCGATCAGATGCAAACTGTCCTTCAGATTTTTCTAGATGATATCACCAAAGCCAGTTCATATTTATGTGCACATTGTGCTAGTACTGATGACAGTTATAATTTCTTGCATTGTTTAGAACCACACTTTGGATGTTAAAAAAAAAGTCCTACCATTTAGTCATCATAGTTTCTAAGCATTATCCTTATTCCTCTGATAGTCCTCTCAAGCAAGCTGAACTAGTATTTTAGAACCAATGTTATAAAAAGTCTCCGCCTAGCCCGGCTAGGCATATGCCTAGACCTAGGCAGTGCCTAGACCTAGGCAGTGCCTAGACTGCCTACCTAGTGCCTAACGTCTAGACGGTACATAGACTACACGCCTAGATCTTGAAAGCATCTAGGGAAGTGTGGTCTGCCTATGCGGACTGCACCTTTTTAGGCCTTTATTGTGATTTTCTCTGTTGTAGCCTCCACGTCCTCCAACTTCCTCCAAACTCCTCATGCCTCTAACTATGAACACCCCCTCTATCTCCTTCAACCTTCAGCAGAACCTCCATCATCACTTAAACGAAGAAAGAAATCTGTCTAAGCATCAGTCCGACACTTAAGCTTTCTATAATATTAGCATTTACTATCAATAATTATAAGAAAAGTAAAAATAGGCATGCCTAGGCTCCTAGCCTGTAGGCATCAGGTCCAGCGCCTAGCCTATAGGCATCAAGTCCAGCGCGTAGGCCTATCGTTTTCTATGTCGTTGTCCAGCGCAGAAAAATGATCATAATCAAATTGTCATATGCATAGGTATAAATTAAAATACTTTGTTCCATATAATCACCAATCAGCTAAACTTTTATCATGCGCTTGTTTGGCCTACAAATGAAAAGATTAAGATGTATAGAACTATGAAGTTTTAGTGAACCTCACACAGGTAGAAAAGTAGTCAATTTCCATTTGCCAAATCAATAAAGAAATTATAGATATAGCTCTTTGTATCACCTCTAAAATGACCTAATAGCTTGCTATAATATACTTTTACATCTCCATTGGGCACTATCTGCAACCTGAGTGGCCTAAATGATATTTCACAAAGGCAATGAATTAGACCAACAGGATGCAGAAAAGAAAAAAAAATCTTAAATAAGATCAAGTAAATTCCTTGTGTTTAAGCAAAATAATGACTAGCTATCAACTAATCCTTGTCCAGGCATGACAGACAGAGATTAGGATCTAAACCTGTGATCTAAGGGACTGATACATCTGATGGAAGAGCATAGCCATATTTACATCTATGTTTAAGGCTAGAAAAGCCAAGTGTTGCTGTTGACTTAACCAGGGTGGGAACACTGTGATTCTGAACGTAGTTTCATTATCAACATAAACATTGTTAACCGGTGATAACTTCATTTTAAAATTTTGATTTTATATCTGCACCACATGATGCATCTTTGTTACCCATCAAGCCTAACAAAATTCCTCAGTGCTAATTTAGAATGGCACTATGTCATATGATAATCTAAAGCATATTGTATAAGACAGGACAAAATTATGGACTTTGTCATGAAGAAATTCAATGAAAAGATTGTCGAATAATCTCACCAGATTAAAGCAAGTTATTTCGACACCTTCAGTAGGCAAGCCATCAATTGCTTCACCATCATCTGCATGATTCAATGAGCTTAAACTGTATTCTTCTCAAAGGAAAAACAAAACAAGACAAAACAAAACAAAACAAAAAGCAAAAAAGCAAAACAGAAATAATAGATATCCATGATTCCTCTGACAACAGGTATTTTGGAGCTCAATAATACATGAGAAAAAAAATCAAAAAAGTTAGTTTCTTGCTTATTGCAAATTATTATGCAAGTGAACTTTGTTTGATTGTTTTACGCAATCACATAATTCTTGTGCTATAACCTAGGGTTTATGAAAAAGCCTCTACCTTGTCTATAGATTCCTTCTTCATGGTTGCTAACGTGGAGCATTCAGTCTGAGATATCAGACTATAGTAAACTTTAAACAACTTTTCCATGAATCCTCATGCTCCAAAACTGATCTATTTTAATAGAAACTGCTTAACATGATGATGTCAAGGATTGCTGTGCGAGAAGGGTGCGCAATCTCATCCACACAGAAGGTGGATGGTAGCTATATCAGTAAGGAAATCACAAAATAGTAAAACCATGAATCCTCGACATCATCATGTTAAGCAGTTTCTATTAATTCCGATCAGTTTTAGAGCACGAGGATACATGGAAAAGTTGTTTAAAGTTTACTATCGTCAGATATCTCAGACTAAACACTCTAGGTTACCAACCATGAGGAAGGAATCTATAGACAAGGTAGATGATTTTCCATAAAACCTAGAAACAAACCTTTCTTTCTCATACAGTTTAGCTCATCATCCAAGGAATGGTTCTCCAAAACTTTCTTGAACAGAGAGATTCCAGAAGATGGAAGATTATAGGGTTGCTATGATGGAACCATATGCAACTCTAATAAATAGAAAATTCTAACTAGCCAAATAGAAGGCATTCTAACTATTTTCTGTTACAACAATGGAAGTCAAAATATATTGCCTGTGCGGAATTCCAGGATGTCTTCTTCAGAATAACAAAAGCTTCCTCTTGCAGTGTAACAAAACCTTAAAACATGAGAGAGATAAAATAAAATTAATTAGTTCAGTACATAATGAGTTACAAAAGAAAAAAGTTTTTTTTTCTTTCATGAAGTGATACGAAGAAAATGGTAAGAGTCAAAGAAAATGTTCAAATCAAAGTATTATGTTCTGACTATATACTTCTATAAACTACTAAAAACAAATATAAAGATAGAAGTCAGGATCTCTACCCACTAATTACAAGATGCATATGTATCTTGGCAAGTGCGTATGCAGCGGCAGAAATGATGGCTTCAATTTCTTCATCATTTACCTGCCCAACAGTAACAGGAGTTCTAAGTAACAAAGGAAGTTCAGTCATCAGGTTAGCCCTTATGGAAAAACACTATAAATAGACTAAGAGGACTCCGATCCGAAAAGACTCTGCATTGGTTGTTCAAGGTCAGAGAGGAAGAATATGGTTGCAACAGCTTTTCGAGGACTTGTGAATGCTGAACAATGAAGAATGTGCTGAAGTTTGTTGCAAGCTAGCGTCGCTGCGGATGCAAGAAAAGAGAAAACAGGGAGGGGAAAGCTGTTTGTTTCATGATGAAGTCAATAACCAATGGAAATTAGGGGTTGTTTAATGGCTGCAGGAACTGAGTGGAAAATAAGCGGTGGAGGATAAACAAAAGAATAAGGATAATAAAATAATAGATACATGCAGGCTTTACAACCCAGGGCTTCGCACCCAAAGAAAACTCACACGCCTAGCACTTCACATGTACTCAAAGAGATTTCTCAAAATCAAATGTCATTAAACATTGTCTCCTCTACATATAGGATACAGGTTATTTATAAAGAAAACTAACAAACCATAATCCGATAGAAATAAATAAATTCCTAACAAATCAAATCTAAAGAAATGGAAAGAAAACTAACTAATTATTTAAACCATATACCAACTGCATTATCCTAACTCTCATATAATAGAACAAAATCCTAATTAACTTCTCAAATTGAACCCATTCAAATCTAATAGGCTGTCTTGCACCAAATCTCCCCACATTGGAGAAAGCTCAATCTCGAGTTTTAATAGGAGCGTATAAACTTTTTCTTTATTCGGCGATTAGCATTATTGCACGAACTGCAGTGTCTTCAACAAAATCTGCAAAACTTGATATTGGATTGGTGGAGAAGGTTTACTTACGGACAAGAAGTTGATACCTGAGTGAACTTAAAGTAAATCAATGTGGGCACAGATCTTATTATGCATCATGATTTCAGCCTCTGACTCAGGTTCAAATTCTAACTTTTGCTCATGATTTGTCGCTTGTTCTCTTTCTGGTTCTGGTTCAGGCTCAAGTTTGGGCTTCAGAGTAGGCTCGAGCACAGGCTCAGGGTCTATCACTTGATTCGCTTCAACTTCTAGCTCCGGTTCTAGTTCTGACTCTAGTTCTGGCTGAAGACATCTCTCAATGAGAATTCTCTTCTTGATCAATCTATCTAATTCTTTGTATATCTTATTCATTTTAAGCATGATTTTCTAGACTAAAATCATAGTGTAATCAAAGTACTCTGATACCAAATGATGGGGAAGAGACTGACTCTGATCCAAAAAGACTTTGGTATTGATTAGTCAAGGTAGGAGAGGAAGAAATTCATTGGAACAACTAATCGTGACTTGTGAATGCTGAACAATGAAGAATGTGTTGTTTGCAGCATGAATAAAAAGGCAGAGGATGTTCGCTGTAGATAGGAGATTAGGGTGATGATTTTGATTAGGCTAAGGTGACTTTGTGTTGGTGTCGTTACACGGCAGCGTCGCTGCTGCTACAGGAAAAGAGAAAACAGGGAGCAGAAAGCTGCTTGTTTGATGATGACATCACTAACACATGGAAATTGGGAGGTCGTTTGATGACAGCAGGAAACCGAGTGGGAATGAACAGTGATGATTAGGGATAAGCAAAAGAATAAGGATAATAAAATTACAGATAGAGGGCTTCACACCCACGGGCAACTCACATGCCTAGCACTTCACATGCACTCAAAGAGATTTCTCATAATGAATTTCATTAAACATTGTTCCTTTGAAAGAGAGGATACATGTTATTTATAAAGAAATTAACAAACCATAATCTGATAGAAATAAATAAATTACTAACAACAAATCAAATCTAAAGAAACACAAAAGAAAATTTACTAATTGTTTAAACCATATATCAATTGCAATATCCTAACTATAATAGGATAGAAAAAAAACGACAAAACAGTTAGATTGGTATATTTTGTAGAGGCTTGGTGACATGTTGGTATATTTTCTTTTAGTTTTGTCAGATTGATATATTTTGTAGACTCCGGCGTCATATAGCCTTTAAATTTGGCCGGAGTTACTGTTCCGGCCAGTGCTGATGGGATTTTTTGCATAAAACCCCTCATCAAAAATCCATCCTGCTCCTACCCCCCCTCCTCCCACTCCCCCTCTCCCTCCTCCTCCTCCTCCTCCTCCTCCTCCTCTTCAAGCACCATCACAAGCATCATCTCCATGCTTTTCCCTCAACAGTTTCAACATGTTTCCATTCATCTCAACAAGAAGAACAAGTCGTAAAGTGTGTAGTTGCAACAACACTCATTCACATGATTTGTAAACTAAAATATACTAAATACTCATCAATAACACCACAAAAGCTAACCTTCGCCCCAAGTAACCAAATTTGATCTTAAAAAAACACCAAATGCTTGTCCATTAAAGAGAAATTACTGCGTAATGTCCAAATATCAGACAAAGAGAAGGAGAATCAAGTAACAAACCACCGAATTGGACTCATCGTCATTATCCAAGCTATCCTCAGTAACTGCATCGCGATCCACATCACTGATCCCCTCAAATCTCCCCGTTTTGTCCATCGACAGTGTTGAGATCGTGCAGCGAGCTCTCGATGAACGAATTCGACGAGGAGGGGGAGGTTGAAGAGGATGAGGAAGGAGAGGGGGAGGTTGAAGAGGATGAGGAGGGCGAGGGGGAGGTTGAATAGGATGAGGAGGGAGAGGGGGAGGGGGTTAGGAGCAGGATGGGTTTTTGATGAGGGGGTTTTATGCAAAAAATCTCATCAACATTGGCCGGAACAGTAACTCCGGCCAAATTTAATGGCTATATGACGTCACGGTATACAAAATATACCAATCTGTCAAAACTAAAAGAAAATATACCAACATATCACCAAACCTCTACAAAATATACCAATTTGGCCATTTTGCCGAAAAAAACCTAACTTCTCAAGTTGAATCCATTCAGATCGCA